ATCTTGTCAGATAAATCACCGGAAAAGTGGCATCACATCAAAGTTTATGATTCTATGTTATATCATTAGTCATAGTCTGAATGGTTAAACCATTCATTATCTGTAAATATTTAGGTTGGTTGAGCTTCTGCTCTTTGTACTTTCCAGGTTAACTATTTTGTTTTCCAGTAACAGGGTAGCAATACTTGTGTAAACACTCTGCCTCCTATGAGTGGATAAATTTTTCAATTTTTTCTCTGTTTATGAAGTATGTATATTTTCATTTCCAGTTAAGTTTGGTGTTCTTTCTCTGCAGTTTGACAAGGGTTATATGTCACCCCAATTCATCACAAACCAGGAAAAATCTTTGGTGGAGTTTGACAAGGCCAAAGTCCTTGTAACGGATCAGAAGATTGCAAATGTCCAAGAAATAGTTCCTGTGTTGGAGAAGACTACCCAACTCAGTGTCCCATTGTTAATCATTGCTGAGGATATCTCAAAGCCGGTTTTGGAAACACTAGTGGTGAACAAAATGAAAGGTTTGCTCAATGTTGCTGTTGTCAAATGCCCTGGATTTGGAGATCGAAAGAAAGCATTGTTGCAAGACATTGCTCTTATGACAGGTGAACTTGCATCTTTCTTTCCAACTTAAATTGGTTATTGTAAGTTGTGCTATATTGAAATATAGTGACATATCAGTTAATGAATTATTTATCTTCCTCGCGAGTTGGGTTCGTGTTAGATATGTGAGCCTTCCTATGTGTGCACTGGCTGTTCATGTTTGTGTTTGATCCTTGCAGGTGCATAAACTTTTGAGTATATCATGTTAATTAAGATATCCTTTGATAATTACCTAGGTCTCAATTATAAGAATCGTTACTTTCCTCAATTATAAGAACTATCACTCTCTTTCATGCACTAGAAACAATAAATGTTTTACTTGGATGTTTTGTTAAGAATGTAAAATCCTTTGATGATTACCAAGGCCTCAATTAAAAAAATTATAACTACTTTTTATGAACTACAAATAATAAATTCTTTACTTGGATGCTTGCGCAAGATTGTGTTCTGTTCTCATATTACTATCATAGGAAGGTCATTGCATCTGATATGCTGTGAATTCATCCCATACCAAAACCACCAGGTGCTGATTTTCTCTCTGGTGATTTTGGGCTGACACTCGGAAGTGTAACCTCGGATCAACTTGGCATTGCACGAAAAGTTACCATAACAAGTAATTCGACAACCATAGTTGCTGACTCAGCTACCAAAGCTGAAATTCAGGCAAGAATTCTTCAGATAAAAAAGGACCTCGCTGAAACCGATAATGCTGCCCTTTCAAGAAAGCTCTCAGAGAGAATTGCTAAATTATCTGGTGGTGTGGCTGTAATCAAGGTTTGTGATCAAGCTCTCAGAAAGAATTGCTAAACTTGTATACAATATATTTCGGGAAAATAGATGGGCATCTTGACAAATCTGGCTATAAGTGTGAAGAATTACTGCTAAGGACATAGGCTCCTTGAGTGGCATTAGCTCAGTAGCAGGGATTAATTTTCTGCCCTGTTTTCCTTAAGAAATACTAAGACAAACGACAGGACTCTAATATTTTGTTTGGTGGTGTTTTATTTTAAATTTATCCTTGGATTTAACTTGTTTAGCATGCAAATTTAGGTAGGAGCACACACGGAGACAGAACTTGAAGATAGGAAACTCAGAATTGAAGATGCAAAGAATGCTACATTTGCTGCCATGGATGAAGGGATAGTACCTGGTGGTGGTGCAACATATGTACATCTCTCGGAGCAGATCTCCTCAATAAAAAATTCCATGAAAGATGAAAATGAGAAGATTGGTGCTGACATTGTTGCAAAGGTCTGTTCTCGGTTCCTTTCTTTTTTCAAAAGTTATTTTCTATACACTTTCGCCTCACTAGGATTTGATCTAAGGTGATTTTCTTTTCTTTTGTGAGATGTGCCTTTTATGATCATTTCTCTATTTGGATTGATGAATGTTGCGTCTCAAATAGAAATAAGCAGCGTTTGTGAATGAGTTACCATGCACAAGCGCTATAGGGGCTGGTGCTAAAGCAGATTATTGCACAAGACTTGTAAAACGGACCAAGGTTCCTTTCATAATTAGTGATAAAGTTGGACATCCTTGTGAAATGGTTATAAATGCAGGGCGTAGCATGGAGAAACCCTACAAGTAGTGGTTTCTAAATGACCATAAAGGAAAATTTCTTCTCCCATGTAGTAACACATACCAATGATGCATTACAGGCACTTCTTGCACCTGCAAAAACAATTGCAACTAATGCAGGGGCTGATGGAGCAGTTGTGGTGGAGAATATTCGATCTTGTGACTGGAGAACTGGTTACAATGCAATGACTGGTAGATATGAAGATCTTCTCAATGCAGGGGTGGTAGATCCTTGTAGAGTTTCTAGGTGTGCACTTCAAAGTGCCGTCTCAATTGCTGGGATAGTTCTAACAACTCAAGCTGTGCTGGTTGAAAAAATAAAGAAGCCCAAGCCCGCTGTCCCTTATGCTCCTGGAATTACACCTTGAGAAAAATGGAAAAAGAGCTGTTAAAATTGTAGAAAGAAGCTGAAGAAATTTTATTGCTCTGATGGCTCACATCAACAGTTTTGAGTTGGCTGGTCAGAATGAAACTTGGAGGTGAAGCAAGTTTCTTGAACAGGCCTTTACAAGTTCTGGGATCACCAGGTGGATCATGCTTGAGACCACAAAAGCATCAAATGCCATAATGAAAGACTTTGCATTTGTCTGGAAATGCTTGGTTCTCCCTGCTGATACGACGACTACTCCCCTAAATTTTGTGTTTGGTCTCTGTTATATTTGATTTTCTGGCTGGTTTCCTGTCAAGAAACTCACTACTATTCCAGTAACTCAGCAAGTAGCCATATAGGAAGAGTAATCCCCATATCCAGATGCCCTCTTTAAAATCTTCAACTGAAGTTAGTCACTGACACAATTTAAGCAGAAAATCACCTTTATTTTATCAACTATATTCTCTTGACTGCTATATGATTCATCTGTCAATTTTATTTGGACGAGGTTTTGGTCTCTTGCCATCAAATTTAATTGATTTTTGTTTGCTATTGGATGATTGCCTTGTAGTGTTATAAAACATGTTCTGCTGTTTGAGAAGCAGCCTGCTCCATCTTTTGTGAGTTTTCAAATGTTTGATTTTTCAACATATTTTCATTTTGTTTTGAATTAGAAGCGCACACGTACATCCTCTATCATTTTCATGGAAATGGACTTAGCCCCGGTGCTCGAAAACTCAATGAAATATTTCAGTTTGGGCATGTGCTTTTGTGGCTGCGTTGAAGTGCAGGAGTAAATCTCATATAGAGAACAGATTTCCCTTCTCAATCCCAACTCTAAATGTGAAAATCATTTTCTTCTTCTTGCTTACTTTCTCTCCTTTCTCGACATCCATGTCATTACCATCCCCCTTTCTCCTCAGTCGTACCCAATGCACCTTCTAATATAAGCTCATGAATATTACTAGTACTCATGAACGCTCTACCTTTTGACACACTTCCCATCTTTCTTACTTTCATTTCTTTTCTCATCTTCCTCTTCCTCTGCCTCCTTTTCCTCATTCTGTTTAACTATTTCAAAGTTCCCCTCCCAATCAGTCTTTGCTTGAAAAATCAGCAACGCATTGAATCCACTCACTTTAAGTGGAAATTAGAGGCTGCAACCCTGTCCAGTTCCTGGGAATCTCCACAACACCATTAAGCGCTCCCATCACATTCTCCAATATCTCCTCTCTCGCCATCCAAATCACCCCGACCTTAACCACACCACCTGGATTCATATCAAGTATCATTACTTTTCAGACATTCTGAACTTTGATCTTTCCAATTCCTATGTTTCAAATCAACTGCCACAACGTTCCTATTCGTCTTGAAAAATGCTTTCTACGGAAACAGCATTTTTATCCACAACAGACGCATCATAAGTGTCTCGTAACTTCTGCTTTGCTTCAAGGAGTCCATTATTAGACTTCATTTTTTGAATCGCAAGCACTTCACTGGGATGATTTCAGCTGTTATATTCAATTAGGGTTCTGTTGGAGTTTGCAAAGGGTTTTGGATGTTCTTTGTTTTGGAGTTTCATGATCTTGGAAAGATACTAATGGATTTTTGCAGAGAAGCACGGATCGTCAACGAGGATGTTCTAGTGTTGTTGTAGATTCTTATCCAAGACTTGTATCATTTGATGATGTCATGTGAATTGCTAGAAATATATAAAGTGTATGACTAGCCCAATAATAAAAGTTTCGTAGGGGAACTGAAGCTGCCTACCATAAGACAAGATCTATTAGATTTTTTGAAGCCCAGAGGAAAGATACAGAGACGCTCTGTTTTTGTTTGGTAAACAAAGACTTTTTCTGGCTGTAGGTTTGGTCTTGTCTCAATTCAGGAAATCCCACTTATAATTCAGCATAATAGCGTAAACCCTTGAAAACTGTTGAAAATTACAAAATGTTTTGATGCCAAGGCCCGTTGGCCTTCCAGGTACAAAATTAACCTGAACCTTGAGAGAAAATTATGCCTACAATTCTACAGCAGAGTTTTTGAACAGAAGCAGCATTCTTTATCACCGGGCTGGGAAGAATAGGGGGACGATCCATTCAAGAGTTAAGACCTTGCAGTTTTGAATTTTTAATACGAGGTTTTTTAGATTCAAATCCTGGAAACGTTCGAGGGGGTAGAGATTTGAGATTAGAGGATGGCAATCTCCTATTTTTAATACGAGGTTTTTGCAACGTGTGATTTAAAGATTTGTGTTAGGTATTACTTATTTGTTTCTTTCCAAGAGGGAAGCCCTCTTTAGACCCGGAGGACTAAATATGGAATTTCAACGTGACAAATGACGTTATTTGATCTTTCAGGACGAGTTTGGTTTGATTGTGGAAATTTTGTTCATCATTATTGTACGGTCTTTGTGTTGGAATTTGGATTGTTTATTACTCTAAAAAAAAAATGTAGTAGGAAGGCAATTGATACAAATGAAGGCAATAAATTACATGATTCATGACATTCACCAAGTTCATCTAAAATGATGCTTTGGACGGAATATCTAACATAGACTTGATTATTGAATATTACATTTTGCCAAACAAGTTGCTTTTCACAAACGCCCAAGTATACTGTAAAAATTCAGCCAATAACATTTCTGTGAACCATTATATCTTCCAATTCCATCGTGGAGAATAGCTTTGGCAATGGAGGCCATCGAGTTGTAAGCTCTGTAGAAACCTGTCGCATTGTTGGCCGATAGTGAGGATCGGTCTGCAAGCAAGCAAACGCCAGTTTTGCAACATGTGCCACACCGTCCGCAAGCTCGTTTTCAGGAGGTGGGAGGCGCTGGTCTAAGACATCCTTCAAGACTGTATTGTGACCAATTGGTGATGATGAGGAGGTGGAGGCAGATAACATCAGAGATGAGATGAAATCGCCAGGATGCTTTCCCATCATTACTTCCAATGTTAATACTCCAAAGCTATACACATCACATTTTTCATCCACTTTCATTGTGTATGCCAACTCTGCAAAAGCGGTTGGTCATGCTATATTTTGCCAAAATAATTTACTGCACCTATTTTGTTTTCAAGTGATTTTGTAAACTAACCTACTGTAGAAGGTGATATTGAAACTTAACTACATACCTGGAGCTGTGTACCCAAAGGTGCCAGCAAATGATGTCCAATTGGACGCGTCAGGCATTAAGAGCCTGGCTGTGCCGAAGTCAGAGACATGAGCCTCATATTCTGAATCCAGAAGAACATTGTTGCTGGAAATGTCTCTATGAATAATCGGAGGGGAGCAGTCATGGTGCATGTAAGATAAAGCATTGGCTACGCCTTCGATAAGATTCATCCTTTTATCCCAATCCATCTTTGCTGCTTGTTCCTCGTCGTTCAGTACCTTTCTTAAACTTCCCCTTTCCACAAATTCATATACCAAAAATGAATGTTTGGCATGCGAGCAGAAACCATACAGCTTCACAATGTTTCGATGCCGTATACCCATTAAGACATCAATCTCGCTTCTAAAAGCTTTAAAGTTGCTCATCTCAACTTCTGGTGTTTGGTGGAATGTCTTCACGGCAAGGACTTGTTCTGATGGAAGTACAGCTTTGTAAACAACTCCATACCCTCCAGTACCAATGCAATATTTGGAGTCGAATTCCTCAGTAGCCTCAATGATGTCCTCGTAGCGCAGATCCCCACCAGGGCACCATCTCACGGAAACATCTCTTTGTGGTGTTTCCACTAACCTTTTCTTTCTTCTGCTTTGGAAAAAGATAAGAAAACCTACAATCAGGCCCAACAAACTACCCAGCAGAGAAAAGACCGTCAAAAAGACAACTTCGGGGCCCTTCTTGCGCTCAGTTTTGTTTTTCATGAGAGCAGAACAAGCCTCCAAACCAGTAGCATTGCCACACAGGTTGGTGTTGTTGCGAATTGCTTCAAATGGTGCCTCGCGAAAGGCTTTGATGTCTGGAATGGGACCCTCTAACTTGTTATAGGATACATCCACTTTAGTGAGGCCTGGCAGTCTACTAAAACTGGTTGGAATGAGACCAGACAGCATATTATAGGAGAGGTTCAGAAACTCTAGCCGCTGCAGCTGTCCAAGCTCCGGTGCTATACCTCCCATCAGGGAATTCCAACTGAGATCAAGACTTTCAAGAGACTGTAAAGACCCAATCTCAGCGGGAATACTCCCCGCGAATCTATTCTTGCTGATATTCAAGAATATCAGTTTTGAGCACTTGCCAAGCTGTTTAAGAATTGTTGCAGTAAAATTGTTCGCGGCCAGGTCAAGCCTTTCGAGATCAGAAAGCGACGCGACATCGAATGGAATATCACCTGAAAGTTTGTTATCGTTGAGTTCAAGTTTAATCAACTTTAAATTTCCCAATTCGTTTGGAATTCTCCCAACTAGTTGATTTGATGAGAGGTCAAGAGCTTGTAGATGAGTTGCCTTTCCAAGAGCAGCTGGTATTTCTCCAGAAATCTTGTTTCCAGAAATCTTGAAGGTTGTCAGATTGTTAAACTGCTCCCATTTCAATGAAAGTTCACCATACAATTCATTATCACTCAAATCCATGTAGTTCAAATGAGGATGTGTGCCCAAAGCTTCAGATATGTTTCCACCAAGTTGGTTTCTCTCAAGTCTGAGTCTCAACAAGCTGCTGCAATTTCTCAAGCTTTTTGGTATAGGTCCCGTGAAATAATTTTCAAACGCAGCAAAATATGAAAGTAATCCACCAAGGCACACATCTCGTGGTAGATTACCAGACAATCTATTAGAATCTATTTGTAACAAATACAAATGTGTAAGGTTGTTCATTTCTGGAGGAATGGGACCAAAAAAATTGTTATTCCCAAGGTCAAGTCTAGATAAGCTTCTTAAATTGCCTAGAGATGCTGGTATTGTACCGGTTAGATTATTAGATGACAAATATAAAGCAGTCAGGTTTTCTAAGTTTCCTAGAGATGCTGGTATTGTACCGGTTAGATTATTAGATGATAAATATAAACCAGTTAGGTTTTCTAAGTTTCCTAGAGATGATGGTATTGTACCGGTTAGATTATTAGATGATAAATATAAAACAGTTAGGTTTTCTAAGTTTCCTAGAGATGCTGGTATTGTACCGGTTAGATGATTAGATGACAAATCTAAAGTAGTCAGGTTTCCTAAGTTTTCTAAAGATGCTGGTATTGTACCAGTTAGATAATTAAATGACAAAAGTAAACTTGTGAGAGATTTCATGTTCCCTATGGAAGCAGGGATTGGACCTTCAAAATTGTTATGGAGCAACTGTAGGGCAGATAGATGTTCAAGCATTCCTACTTCCCTAGGTATGAAACCAGAGAGTTCGTTGCCGTAAAGGTAAAGAAAAGACAAGTTGCTTAAGTTTCCTATGGACGTAGGAAGACCACCACTAAGGTTGTTATTTGACAAATCAAGCAAATAAAGAGATACCAATTTTCCAACCTCTGGTGGTATGTTGCCAGAAATGGTATTTAAAGACAAGTCAAGTCTGATAAGGTTACCTATATGTGAAGGAATGGACCCATAGAGCGAGTTGTTGTGAAGGATAAGATTAATCAAGTTAGGAAAGGAAGGGAATCTGAGACTATTTAGGGTACCTCTCAAACTAGAATTAGGCAGGCTTATGTTGGTAACACTACCAGACTTGTCGCAACTGATTCCGACCCAGTTGCAAGGGCTGTCTCCAGCCCATGAAGACAGGAGAGTCTGGCTTCGGTTGTCAAGACTGACTTTCCATTCTAGAAGAGCTTCCGCTTCCTTCCTTCCATTTGCTACTTCAGCTCTGACAGCCGAGTAAGCAAAAGAAGTAAAGAAGGAAGCATAAGCAAGTAAGGAAAAAAACAACAAAGGTATGGATAAGAGCAAGATTTGGGAAGCCATGGCCTTGGTGGTTTACTTTCTTAAGGAGGATGTATAAAATGATTAGCCCTGCATACGTGTGTGTATATATATATATATATGCAGGAATTCATTTGTCTTGGTCATGATCGAAGATTTCTTAAGAAGATAGACAGCTGTGTTTTAATTGAAAGTCTTCTTTTTTTTAAAAAAATTAATGTGAATATTCGAGCTACCTTACACACCACGACATATTCAATTCTTAATTGACGTATTTTATTCATTTTTTATTTTTTTTATGTGGGGTGTCCGGACCAGCTTACGCGCACCACGACTAATCCCCATAGCCAACTGAACATCCTGCAAGTCCAGTGAGCAGGTAAGGCACCACGAGGGTGACAGGCGTGCATGGTGAGGTTTGAACCCAGGTACGGAGGAAGGGAACAAGCCACTCCCACTGATTTCATTCTTTTTTTTAGATTAACGTGAGTGTCTGGACCAGTTTGCGCGCACCACGATTAATCCCACGGGTCCTGAAGTTAACGACCCACTAATTTCATTCTTGATTGGATGTCTTCGTGTTTCAGCTATGGACCTACGGTGATGTTTCCCATGAAACTTCAAGTGTGGAACAACATTCACGTGGTTAATGCTTTTGTTATATCAATCAAATGAATCCACTTTGAAAAGTTTCTGCAAAAGTGCAAGTCATCCCACTCGAAGACTTCAGGATAGGGCCAATAATTTAAAACAATAAAGGTTCAATTAGGGGGCAATGCAAAAGCGCAAAACCATGGCTAATACTTTATTCGGTATTATTAAAGTTTTCTATTTTTTTAATAGTAATAACCTTTTAATAAAAAAAAAACTTTCATAAATAAAATTTAAGCATTTTATGTGTCTCCACATAGTTATGATGTTTTTATTTTTGAAGGTTCTGACTAATTACAAATATAGTTATTTTTCATTTAAAGATTTATTTATTTTATTTATTATTATTAGGCTTTTCTAGTTTTCATGTCTCAAGAAAAAAAAAAAGCTTTCTTCTCATGTTATGACTATTATTATTGGATGGTAAAAAAGGAGTTCTACTTTTTTTCAATTAAGTCCCCTGCATCCATTTATACATGGGAGTCACAAGGTGGAAACTTTCCTTGAGCCGGAATTTGTTTGTCTTGGTCAATGGTCATGATCGAAAATTTCATGTGGACACGTACAAAGAAGATAGACAGTTGCGTCCGAAGAGGTGTAGAATACTTTGGTCTTCCATTCATGATTGCATGTCTTTGGGTTTGAGCTGTGGTGACGTTTCCCATGAAATTCATGTCGTTTGCTGATGGTTAGAAAGGAGATTAGGAGCGTTCTTGGCACTTCTTCGAACTGATTTTATTTTGTTTGTTCAAATTCATCTCTCTCTATTAACTAGCCTCTGTTTAACATGATCCGCGAAAAATATTCGAAATCCTAAAATTATTTTTTATAATTGACTTGTATGCAAAGTCAGGCCGCCACAGAAGATTAGGGACTGACTGGACTCATCCATGATTCAAAGAGGTGGGAAGAAGCGGCATCATCGGATTCTAACAGGAAATAAATTAGAAGTGTGTTTGGTAATAATTCGCTCAAATCAATTAGAAGTGTATACTTTAGAAGATGACTTTTTTATTAAATTAAAACTCGACTCCTTTAGTGATAACGTTTTGATTGAAGCCATAAAATTGTTTCTAACTAACAATATTTATAACATTACTTTGACTCAAAAGTTATAAAAAAAAAAATCAATTAAATCAATTTATAAATGCCATGCCAAAAAGAATTATAATCTTTGTGTTGGGATTTGCCATGAGTAATTTTGCAACGGGTTACAAACACAGGATTATTGTATAAATTTTTATTTTTATTTTTATTTCCTGAATATTTTGTGTTACGATGAACGTTAATCAAGATGGAATATTTAATTGCGTGATAGATGAAGTCTTAATTTGTCATAATTACTAGAATATTTATGTTGGGGTTTCAGCTATGGATCCATTAATTCTCGGATGATTTTTTTTATATGAAATACAAGAGATATATTATTTTGCACCATTATGTGCTTATATAATAAGATTAATATATTCCATGATTAAAAAAAATACGAAACTCTGCATTGGGTGATCATCCTTCAAGGATTTTTTTTCTATTTTTTTCTTGTTTTTTCTCCTAGTTTTTCATTGCTTGTGTTAAACAACAAATCTAACTCTATCTCTCCCTTAATTACCCTAATTATTTTAGGTTCTATCTATGATGTGAAATCCGAACTTTACGATTAATAATAGCTTGCTTGTACCCCACCATTCCATGACTCCTGATTATTAGGAGATGAAGACTATTTGTATACTGTCGGTCCTTGACTTGGATGTGAATAGCGTGTTTATTTTTCTTCATGCTTTTGAAAAAAATATTTTCCAAGAAAAAAAACAAGGCATTCTTGTTTCGAATAAGAAACAAGAATTTATTATTTAATAGATCTTTCCGTTTTAATATCTTAGAAGAGCTTCTGCTTGTTTCCTTCCATTTGCTACTTCAGCACCGCACCAGTAGCTGAGTAAGCAAAAGAAGTAAAGAAGGAAGCATAAGCAAGTAAAGAAAGAAGCAACAAAGGTATGGATGAGAGCAAGATTTGGGAAGCCATGGCCTTGGTGGTTTAATTTCTTATGGAGGATATATAAAAAATGATTTGCCCTGCATGTGTATATAATTTCCTATGGGAATTCATTTGTTTTAAGAGGTGTTCTCTGTTGCCTGTCATTCATGTGATGTTTCCCATGAAATTTCAAATGCGGAACGACGTTCATGTGAAACCTCAAAAGCTTAGAACGTTAAGTCAACCAATGGATGTTTTTCACGAATTCTGAGATCTACAGCTTTCTCGTGTTTCACATTTTCGGACGTTCTCTAAAATCAAATGGTGGCTTCGTTCGTATTCACGTGTAATTACCATAATTGTGAGACCCATGTTTTGTCCCATCAGATCCAAGGCAAAAATTTAGCACAAATCAAGCCTAATTAATCTACGTATTTAAAGAAAAGGTTGTCGGAACATTGTTGTCTCTCTTTTCTCTTGTTTTTTTCTCTTACCGTGACTTTCCTATCAAAATATCAAAGGATTCAGCTATCTTTAAACTTAAGCTTATGAATTTTAAAAAGGAATATTGAAGAAATAAGTAAGTTTTACGACTACCTTATTGTTGTTTTTTATTGGGGATTTGATATTAGATGTATTAAAAAAGTGTTTTAGGTCAAGTTTTAAAATATTTAATATATTGATTTGATATATAAATGATTTAAAAGTTTTTAATATGATATTTTAGAGTGTTAATTGGACTAAAAGTAACTAGGTTGATATCTTCGATTATGAATTTATTAAAGAACAAAATGGTTGTTATTTTTGGGTATTGTAAATTTTTTATTAGAAATTTAGGGATTTTTTTAGAAATCTTGATTAACTAGTCATTCGGTCATCCAATTCAATTATTGATACCAGCTGATTAAGTGTTCTAAACTGACCAACCGGTTGCTTTGTATAGTGGTTGATCGGTTGGTCAATTTAATTGACTTGTTGACCCGACAATAAAATTTTATTAGATGAGTTGCATTTGATTAGTTGGGGTTATGTTCAAGTTTGATTAGATAAAACATTTCAGTGTTATATTCATATATTAATTTTTAAATTTAAAGTTTTTAAATTTTTTATATTATTTTAATTTAAAATGTTTTAAAATATTTTATGTATTCATTATAGATTCTGCTACAAAGAAAAGACAGTAAGAGACAAGATGGGGATGCAAGACTTCTGTCTATTCTGCTCATTGATATGCCCCAAAACCATGTATAACGATGCCCAGCAAGAGGATACTCAATGAAGTCGCAATTATAAAGAAAAGACTTGAAGGCCTTTGAACCTCTTCATCTCTCTGCATCGTATGTCATCCAGACCCAATCTTACCCCATTAGTCAACATATTCTGAACCTCTTCATCTCTCTGCATAGTATATGCACCCTCCGGCTCAGGAGTAAGAAAAAAAAATCAAAAAATAGATTAAATTAATAAAATTAAAAAAAATAACTTAAAAAACTAAACCGTAAAAAAAACTAATTAAAATTAAAAAAAAAACTAATCAGTTTGATTTTGATTTTATAAATTTGAAATAAAAAAACTAAACTGAACCCAAAAAAATAAAATAAAAAATTAAGCCAAATAAAAAAAATTGAGTCAAATAAAAAATCAAGTCAAATCAATTTAAACTAATTTTTATTCTAAAAAATTAAATTGAATGAACTAAAACTAATCAGTTTAAACTAGTTTTAATTTTTTTAAAAACAATTTAATTTTATTATTTTTTTAATAAAAACTGAATTCAACTTAAAGTAACTGTGGTTGTTTCTGCGTGGTAAATCTAGAATTCCTCTGTTTATTACTTGATTCCATTAATTCTGAGGTCGGGCTGGGTCTGAGAACCACGTCCAGCCCAGCCTCAGCTTCTTTTTTTTTTTTTTTTTTTTTTCTTTTCGGCTAGGTCAGGCTAGCATGAACTTCCCGGTCATTGGTACAATACACGTACACTGGCTGGCTGATAATATCTATTCTGTAAAGAATATCTATTTTAATTTTTAAAGAACCATATAAAAATAGATTTTTAAAATTAATTTACATATATCTAATAATTAAATTTTTTTAAGAGATAAATATTCCAAAAAACAAGGCGTTTTTCTAATAATTCAATTCTTTTGGACCCTTTACATTCACTATTTTTCTTATTCAAGGATGAACCCATTGTCTCTTGAAGGTTTATTCCGTTCTTGTTTCGAATAAGGCGTTCTTTATAGGCGCAATTTAAACCCTGCCCCTTTTTTTTTTTTTTTCCAAAGAACAAGGCGTTCTTGTTCAAATAAGAAACAAGAATTTATTATCTATTTTTTTTTCCTTTTTAATACTCTTATGGGGTTTCAGAGGAATCTTGAACAAGGCGTTCTTGAATTTATTATCTCGTGGAGGATTTGTTTTTTTTTTACTAGATAACTGTTTATTTACTGAAAAGTAAAAAATATTTGTTAAAAAGTAGTTTTTTTAAGTGAATTCTGAAAAAATAAATTATATAAAAATAAATTATTTTCTAATATTTAATAGTGTAATAGAAAATAAATTATAAAATACTTTTCAATATTTGATTATATTATGGAAAATGAGTTAGAAAATAACTTATTAATATTTTATTTTTCTCAAGTTTATTAAAAT